CCCCCTCCCATTCGGCCTGCACGAGGGGGCGTGGTGCTCGGCTGGGGCACATTTAAAGGGCGGGTTTGTTGTGGGCGGTGGTGTCGGTGGGGAGGGGCTGGAGAGGCTTAAAGGGGCAGGCGCCAGTCTGTCTGCTCCTCCCCAAGCTCTAAAGTCTGGGGATTTAGTTTTTCCCCAATGGGGGCGGGTCACGTGGTTCCCCCAATCCGGGACTGACCTTTCATCCCCAAAGAAGGGGGCGTGTGTTGCTTCCACCGGGAGTCTCCGGGCCTTCTCCCAAGAGCTGAATTCTCCTTATACATGTGTGCACACAGATACATGTAAACACTTGCACACATTCCCCAAGCTCTAAAGTCTGGGGATTTAGTTTTTCCCCAATGGGGGCGGGTCACGTGGTTCCCCCAATCCGGGACTGACCTTTCATCCCCAAAGAAGGGGGCGTGTGTTGCTTCCACCGGGAGTCTCCGGGCCTTCTCCCAAGAGCTGAATTCTCCTTATACATGTGTGCACACAGATACATGTAAACACTTGCACACATGTGAATGTGGACATGCGAACATGCACACACGTGAACGCACAAACACGTGCACACATGCAAACGTGCATACAGGCAATCATGCACACAAACATATGCATACACACCAACATGCATACACATGCAAGCGTGCATACAGGCAAGCACATGCACACAAGCAAACACGCAAACACATGCACACACAAATATGCACAACTTGTGCACACATCCAAATACATGCACACACATACATGACACGTGAACACACATGCATGCAACATACATGCAGTTGGGCTCATGCCTTTCTCCCTAACCTGAGACCAAATCCTCCCTGGGGCTGGGGCACTGCTGCCCCCAGCAGCCTCAGGCTCCCTGGCCACCGGGGCACCCTCTGTGCTGCACCCAGGCCGTGCTTGCAGGCAGCTGGAAACAGGGCTTCTTCATGGAAACTGTCCCCCAGTGGGTGTTCCCAGGGCCTGGGGGTCGGTGCCCGCTTGAGCACCTGGCACACTGACTCTCCTCTGTTACTCTGGTGTTCTCTCAAATGTGGCTGGTGGCAGCCGCTGCCAAGACCTGCCTGGGCTTAGAGGAGTGCCCTCCCCCGCATGGTTTTAATGTGGTAAATAAACCATTGGTTGCCTTGGTGACAAGCACACCACAAATCATCTTCGGAAATACGTCATGGGAACAGGACCAGGGGTGGAAGTGAAGGTGGCTCCCGTGGGTGTGTGGCCACGAGCTCTCCCTTAGGAGCCGGTTCCGCTTGGGAGGAGTCGTTCAAACAGCTCCAGCTTCCATCCTGCCAGATGCTGAAGCGCAGATGCACTGTCAACCCCCAGGCCACAGGGTAAAGGGATTTAGGCACCTAAAGGCTATTCTGCTCAAGTCCCTGCACATCCACCAATGCCTCTTCTTTGTAACACGCTGGTGAGTTCCTGCCCTGCCTGTTCTTACTAGCAGTTAGCAGGTGCGTGTGTGTGTGTGTGTGTGTGCGTGTGTGTGTGTCCCAATTACACAAATTGCAAATTGCTCAAATCACAAACAAAACCTTATGAGGGAGAATAAGGCAAGGTGCCATGTTTATTTATTAAGCGCTTAATACACACATACCCACACACAACATTCATACCCCAATTTCTGTTCTGCACTGGTATGCATTACCAGTCTTATTGGTGCTCACATCAACTCAGTGGTCATCAAAGTTGATCACGAGTGGGATCCAGGTGTCTGCTGGTCCATCTTGCAGACGAACCGATGCTCCAGGATGACATGCACAACAACATCCAAAATTGATATTTCTCACCCCATCTTTTATAGCCTTGTCAATTCACCCAGTCCTCTGGGCTTTTGCTGGGTTATCACTGTGTTCTTTCTTGAAGGTCGAATGCCGTTGTTCACTCGCTGTTCTGGGACGGATTCTTCTTGTTCGGTCTTTTATCTGTCTGCATTCTTCAGCCAGTCGCCAGCTGATGTTTTCCTTTTCCGCAAACACATTCTCACCCATACAGCATATAAAAGAGTAAAAGGGCGAGCACTTATGTCCCGCTATAGAGCAATACAAAATGGAGTTTCTTAAGGCAATGCAAAACTCAAGAAAATACACAAGATTAAAAGCAATAGGCAAAAGTCTATTTCCATGTTATTTACCTAACATCAAGCTGGTATTTATGTTATTTGCATAAGAGCCGGGCTTCAGTTTCCCTTCCTGGCTACTGTCAGCTCTTTGATGCCAGAAGTATCTCCCCTGAGGGGTAGGTACAGCACCTGGGGCAAGAAAGCTTTGTCTTCTGAGTGGCTTTGAATTGAACCCAGAGAGGACTAGCAGGGAGAGCCCTGTGTATTCCCACCCAAGCAATTACCAGTGTGCTGAGCTCCCCTGCCTCTGGCATCCCACATGCTCCCAATGTCTCCAGCAAAGCAACTCCTCATTCCCTGTGGTCTTCCAGGAGCACCTGTCCCTCTTGACACAGTGACCTTTGCTCTTGCTGATCCAGCTATACAGAAGCTAATCTATTTATCTGGCAGCATTTGCATGATCATGTGGACCTGGATTCCCCCAAGGACTTTGCTGCCCCAGAAGCCTTGGCTTGATAAACCCTGGTAGTATGAGGCCAAATCCCCCATGGAAGAGGCTGAGGACCCTAAATCCAGTCTCCCTCCCAAAACAAAGCTGAGGCTCTGGGTCCAATCCTATTCCAGCTCTTGGGTGCAATTATATCCCACCCTGTTCAAGTCCCTAAAAAAAACACGGATGCATTTACTTCTGTACCACGCTGTTGCCTTGAGACTAAATCACAAGCAGCAGTGAGAAGCACCCACACACCTTCCACATGACCTGGTTTCCAGGGCCATGAATGGGGCAGACTAGGATTACACTCAGGCACTTAATTGGTGACTAGAACTAGCCCTAAATCCTTTTTTCCCTTGAAAATGGGAGGCTTGTTCTAAAGACAGTGCTATACCCCTCTTTCCTATGGCTCCTGTCAAGAAACTATATCCTACCACTAAGGAGTGAGGAAGGAGGGATGTTCCTTCCTGACCCCACCACTGGTGACCAAAGGATGCCCTGAAGCATGAGGATGGAAAGTTGCTGCCATGGTCACCTTGCTATTTACCATGGCAATTGCTGTTCCTTTTTTTCCTGGTTGCTGTCAGCATTTTCGAAGCAAAACCAAAAGAGAAAGATGCCACCATAGCAATACAGGTAACCCAGTGAACCAGGCTCTGGACTATTCCTCCGTGCAAAGATGTTCTTCACCCTTAATACTTAGAAGTATATTTCTTCCTTGATTCAAGCAAGAAAATGGTGCAATAATTCCGACTGTGCCCAAGTAAAGGCTTAGTCCCGCCAAATGCTGAGCACTTTCACCTCCCATTTGGATGGGTGAGAGTTGAGGCTATGCAGTGCTATACAACAGTCCAGTCAGTCTTAGGGCCCAGTAATTGGGTGAGAGCATTCGTCTCTGCAGGATCAGGCCCTTGGCAAGGGAAAGGAAACAACACATCAGCACCTCCTGCTGTCCAAGCTGGTGAATGACACCAAAGTAGGGTGATCCAAGTTTGAGAGGCAGCTGGCCCAGCCAGCTCACCTCCTGACGGCTGTGGAAAGACACTTGTGGAAATATTTTCTCAGAGCCCCTGGCTAGAATTGAATCTGCAAGATCATTTTGCTCTCATTACTGGAAGCACTTGAAACCCAACGCCAGTGTGTTCCTGAAGTATTCATGAAGTGCCTGGGACAACAAGCACGGCCAGCACCCAGGGACGCCACGGACCTGCTGCCCTGCTCCTAGCACCCGGGGTTAACAGCAGCTTTGTGCCCCAGAGCAGAGGATGGGACCTGCTGGGAGACCCTTCAAGGTAGGAAAAGAACATGCAGGGCCACTGAAAGCCCAACAGGTAGGCAGGCGGAGGGAAGCCCAGCTTACATTACACTGGTATAATCTCGACGTACTCAGACTTGCTGTGGGTTCTGTTTCTTCACATGCTGTCTTGTGTCTGGAATTAGACCTATTTGATACATAACATATGTGATGTAATGTGTAAGTTTTATGTACGTATGCATCTACATGCACATATACAAGTGTGAGTGTACGTATGTACACACACACACACGTACTGTGTGTCAAATGGGCTGAATCCTAAACACACAGGAAATCGCATAGGAAAAAATAGATTGATATAGCTAAATGCTTGTATGTATATACACATACAGCTCACTCTCTCTTGCCAGTGACACCTCAGACTGTGAAGACATTTTCAAATCCTATTTACTTTTTAATGTTATTTATTGTAGTTCTTTATATTTTATTGCAGCTTAAGTAGTTTCACTTTCTCTGTCTAATCAAGTTTCATTTTCTGGTTTCCCACATAGCCAGAAACAGTCACGGTTATGTTTCCAATACCATAAGGCAGTATATCTCAACCTTTTTAGATTCAAGGCAGCCCTTGATAGACTTGAGATCCCCCTTGGAAAACATCAGCTCTTAGTTTTCACTTGTTTTTTGACTACAAAAAAATATCATCAAGGCAGTTCTGCTGTTGCAAAGAACCCAGAAAGCTCACAGCAGGGCAGAACATTTGTGACGCTATGGATTCCTCCTTGAAATCTCTGGGTTAATCTCACAAATCACCTTTGCACAGTGACCAGTGCTAACATTGAGGGGCACCCTGCAGCGCCCTTGAAAGGACCTCAAGATACCCCACGGTGTCACAGCACCATGGCTGAGAATCACCGCTGTAGGGGAATTGTTAGCAAACAACCTGATACTTTTGTGTTTAGAACAGAATTTCAAAAATAAGGAAAAGTAGTAAGGCTAAAAGAAGGGCCATTTTCCACTCATTCACACAGAATATAGGGGCCCAAAATGCAACCATCACTAAAAGAATGGCAGATCAATAACAAAGTCACAAAAGAATACCCAAAGCTTCAAATCAAAAGATTTAATCAATAGTCCAAAGCATTGAAGCCTGCTCCGTGCATCGACACCAGTGATTCTCAACTGTACTCTGGGGTACCGAGAGATCCTTTTAAGGGTGCCACGCAGTATTAGCCCTGGTAGGCATGCAAACACTTACACACAACGCACACCCAGAGATTTCAAATAGGAATCCATTAGTGTCATAAATGCTCTGCCCTGCTGTGGGCTCTCTGAGTTCTCTGCACCACAAGAATTGCTCTAGCATTTTTCTGGCATCAAAAACGAGCGAGAGCAAAAAGCTGGCATTTCCCAAGGCAAGGTGGTAGAGTCTAAAAAGGTAGAGAACCACTGATCTACACCCAACAGCTTTGCCTGCCAGGCTCTGTCAGGAGTACAAAAAGAAAGACACTGCATTCACCTAGGCAAAGGTCAAGAGAAAATGCAGTCATAGAGCACTCAAAAAAATCCCCTTGGTAGCATGGCTTATTTCCTCCCACAAATGGGTACGAGCAGTATTTTTTACAGCAATAACCCACAGCTGGACCAGAATGGTTTGCTATACAGGCCTGTTCTTTCCAGTGTAGGCTAGGCCTAGATTTTGGTGGTAAATGTTCGATTTGTTTAGTAAAAGGCTCTGTTATTCACTGAGAAAATTTAGCCTGTTATGGGAAGAGAGGTAGGTAGACTCATGGGTCTGAAGTAGCAGCTACGTAGCAGAAGGCAGGGCAGAGATGCACCTTACAGACTAACTGAATCAGAGAGGCATCAGCTTTCATGAGCAAGAGCTCATACAGCATCTGATGAAGTGAGATTGTATGCATGAAAGCTGATGTCTCTCTGATTCAGTTAATCCAGTGGGGCCAAATGAATGGCAGACCTGCCATAAGGTAAGTCATACACCCTGTCACTTGGATCCTCTTCCCTCGCTTGATCTGCTGCTCTGCTCCCAAGACATCGCAAAAATGTGTCTGAACAGATGGCCTGAGATTATATAATTGAATCAATGGCAGAAAAGCAGCAGTACATTTAGCTGCTCACTAAACCCCAGTGGAAAAGGTGATGTGTATACGTGCCAATCCCAAGACAAACATGGGCAAAACATGTTCAGGGACAAACGCAATGCCCGTTCCTAGCTTTTATGGACCTCTCGCACTTGTGAGCCTGCAACAGTGCCTCAGATCCTTCACACCACATTTGTGCATTGCCTTGTAATATAGAAATACAAGCTTGTTATCTCGATTCCAGCAGGTAATGAAGCTTTTTGGCACCTGCATGAACCTAATCCTGTCCACATGCCCTAGCCAAGCACCTTGAACTGACATCACAGAAAAGGGGTTGCGAGAGATCCTAGGAAAGTCAGGCTGGAAGGGACCTCACAGGGCCCCATCTAGTCCAGCCCCCTACTCGAGGCAGGAGCATCCCTGACTAAATAACCCCAGCCAAACGTCTGTCCAACCTGCTGTTGACAACTTCCAAGGATGGAGACTCCACTACTTCTCTAGGCAGCCTGTTCCAGTGCTTCACCACCTTCAGAATCAGAAAGTTCCTCATTTCCGACCTCAATTTCCCCTGCTGCAGCTTGAGGCTGTTGTTCCTAGTCCTGTTTCTTTTTTGTTAAAATCAAAAGTATCCATTAGATCAGGGGTGTCAAATATATGGCCCATGGGCTCCAGCTCATAGCTGGAGGGGCTGAGAAGCTGGGGGCAAGGCAAGCCAAGCGCGGGGTCTGCTATACCTCATCTTGGAGGTGTTCAAAATGCGACTGGACAAGCACCTTGCTGAGCTTGTCTGAGCCCAATAATTTCCTGCCCACGATGGGGGACTGGCCTTGATGATCTTGCAGGTCTATTCCGGTCCTTCAATTCTATGATTCTATCACCCAGCACTGCTGACCTGCCAGTCAGATCCAGCCCAGTGCATGGGGTGTTTCAAACCCCTGCAATAGATCATCTCTTCTGAGCTTTGGCGTTACATCCTGGAACTCCTGCAGAGATAGCAACACCTTTGGCGGCTTAACTTGGTCTTCCATCAAGGCTCCAGTCTTGATCAGAGCCTCCCTCCCCAACTGTTGGTCTCAGGGGTCAAGTGCTCTCACTGTTAAACAATTTGCCTCATCTCTACCTGGAACGTGCCAGCATTTAATAAACCAATGCCTGATAACATGATATTGTCCAATTCAATCCAATCTAATCTGCTAAGGATTGCCAAAGAAGCCCTAATTATAATTAAGGATCAAGGAGATTTAGCAACAACATCCAAAACAGAACCAAAGTCCATCCCCTGCCTGGGCTTCCCCAGACTCAGCCCTGGATGCACTGTAGCGTTACCAGGCTCACTGCTCACCTCTGGCCCTGGGGCCACAAGCAGCTGAGTGAAGGAGCATCTTCTGCTCTAATTTACTCCAATTCTCTCCTTGACTAAGGGGGGGGGGGAAAGGAGGGCAGACAGCTGGAGCAGGAGAGGGCACAGGGCCATAGCCTAGCAGGTTGCAGATTGGCGAGAAGCTTCCCACTCTGCCACTTTGAACTCATGATGCTGTTCCCATCATCCATCTCCCATCATCTCAGCCACCTTCCCTGCCCCCTGGTAACCCATCAGGGAACTTCACCTGTTCCTGAGCACCCATGCCCAGAGATAAGTGCTAAAAGACAGGGTAGAGTTGTACCTTGTAAGCTAAGTCAGTGGTTCTCAACCTTTTTAGATGCAAGGCACCCCTTGACAGGTTTGAAGCCCTGCTCAAAAAACACCAGCTTTGTTTTCACTAATTTTTTAAACTAAGGAAAAATACTAAAGCAATTCTTCTGTTGTAAAGAACCCAGAAAGCCCACATGAGGGCAAGACGTTTTTGATGCTCTGGATTCTTATGCGAAATCTCTGGGTTTACCCTGTGAATCACATCTGTACACAACAGTGCGAACATTATGTAGCACCCCACGGCATCCTTGAAAAGATCTCAAGGCCCCCCCCAAAGTGCTATGGCACCCTGGCTGAGAATCACTAGACCAACTAAATTAGAGGCATAGTGGGTAAGGGTTGTCCCTTGCCAAGAGGCTGGGCACGTGGCTGGCACAGCAGGCAGGGATCCCCCAGCCCCCTGGGAGCTGCTCCTGCAAGGGGATGAGCTCACCATCCTGGGAGTAAGTGCAAGGATATGCTTCTCACCTGGGGCTGGAGATAATGGACAATGGAGACAGCAGGCACTGCCACTTAGCTCTGCCACAGTGCTCCCATTCCCATGATGAACCAGGCTGTGGCAGAGACCTGATGCTTCCCTGGTACAGCTGTGCCCCACTCAGCAGTGCTAATTCCCCATCCCCTACTGTGCCCTGCAGGCAGCAACCAGGCCCCAGGGGCTGCTCCAGGTGTGAGAGCGCCTCCAGGGCCCTATGGAGAGCACCACCGTGCAGCCGTACGTCGACGTAGACAAGGGCTTCGCCATCGGCTTTGTCGTGCTCATGTGCCTCTTCTTGATGGCCATGATGGTGCGGTGCGCCAGGCTGGTGGTGGACCCCTACCGTGCCATCCCCACCTCCACCTGGGAGGAGGAGCAGATCAACTGATCAGCAGCCTACACAGGTGGGTAGTTGGCAGTCAGGCTCCGTGAAGTGAGCTCTTCAGGCTCCTGCCATCCCGGTCATCCCTGTTGCTACAGCAGAGCGATGATCTCCTGCTTTCAACTCTGCCTGCAGTTGTGCTGGCTTTGAGGACGAAGCCTGCAGGGGAGGATGTCATGATGCCAGCTTTGTGCCATCTTGGGGAGGTGAGCATCCCCTGCCACAGCAGCCTGATGAGGTGGGAGAAGCTGGGGTCCAGGCAGGGTGCAGGGACCCAGTGCCTTCCACTCTGTACTACTGCACCCATTGCAATGGGCAGCTCTGCAGGAGGTGACCGGCATCCTCCACATGAGGGTCTCTTCTTTCTCCGCACACAGGGCTCAGGTACTGCCCCATGCCCATGATGCAGGGGCTACGGAGGCTTGCAACCCAGGGCATCTGGGCTGTGGAGTCCAGACCGCTCAAGCCCATGGAAGAGACCCTGCAGTACCAGCAGCAGTAGGTTGTTACTCCAGAGCAGACCAGGCTCTACAGCAAGGGCAGGACGCAGCCCCTGCCGGGACCCTACCCTGGGGTCTGGCATTCAGTCCTCTCCAGTGAATGGTGCCCAAGCTGGCCAGCCAGGAGCTAGTCCTGGAGTCCATTCCTGGCTCTGCCACTGACTCACTCTATCACCTTGAGCCCCAAAGCCTCCACCCCTACACTGCCCCTTTAAGAAGCCTCCTCCCTCCAATCAGACCGACCGACACCAAACATAGCTGCTACACCTTTAACTAGCTGGCCTAAGCGCATGCGCGCTGGCGCCGCGGAGGTATTTCCGCCCGAGCGCGCCTGTGTAGTGCTGTCCCCTGCCTTCGCGCCCGCCTCTCGAGGGGAGGTTTGGTCCGCTCGGGCTACCGTCGCCGGAAGTGGTGTCGGGGCTCCTCAGCGCAGCGCCCTGGAAAGGAGCCCGGGCCTCGCCA